AAAGTCAGAGATAGAAGGTGGCAGATTATCCTTTTACTTCTTCTTGCTGCTCTTGCCACTCTTGACGCTACTTTTGGTGCTTTTCTTGCTCTTCAGACGGCTGCTCTTGCCTCGTTTTGAGGAACCGCCACCACCAATGGAGGAGTGCTTGCCGGAGACCTTTGACTTGAGTGACTTTCCGGTGCCCGTCTTCAAGTTGCGTCGTTTTGTGGAGCCTCCAGCTCTCTTCAGGCGCATGATAATGATAATGAAGATACCAATGAGGACGACCAGTGTAATGGTGCAGCCAATGATGCCCACCTTGATGAGGTTGATGGCGCCCACACCTTCCAGTTCGCCAGCTCGTTCCATGCTCTCGTGCTGCTTCTCGCTCAGTGTGAAGGTGCAATGCATCTGGTGTTCGCCCTTCTTCTCGCAACTCACCTCAGCAGGGTCAATCTTTGGTGGCTTCTTCGAGTGATCATGATCATTATCAGGAGGTTTTGAATGATCTTTGTCTTTGTCTTTCTCTTCGTGGTCTTTGTCCTTATCCTTGTCCTTCTCTTTTTCTTTGTCTTTACCGCCGCCAATCCAATTACCCATGATGGAAGAGAAAGTGAGAAGATGCAAAAAAAGTTGCCAACTAGAACTGAAAAATAGAATTACAGACTATCAAACGTTAATACTATTTTTCCAAAGTTGTTTGAAGGCAGCTTTCATACAACAGTAAACCATTGTTGCAGCAACAGTAAAAGTTCTGTCGCCCAAATTCAGAGCAATTAGAAGGTAGTTTTAATTAAAAACAAATTAAAACAAAGCAATGCAAAGTAATCAAAATAGTGCAAGTGAGTGTAAAATGTGCTCCTAAAAATGAATGTAAAAATTAAATAGTGGAGGAGCCACAATTGGTTTGGCCAGAGGGGCTGTTTTTAGGCCAATAGCTAATGGGNAATTAAAAACAAATTAAAACAAAGCAATGCAAAGTAATCAAAATAGTGCATGTGAGTGTAAAATGTGCTCCTAAAAATGAATGTAAAAATTAAATAGTGGAAGAGCCACAATTGGTTTGGCCAGAGGGGCTGTTTTTAGGCCAAAAGCTAATGGGCAAGGACAGCACCACTACCACCTCATTTGCCCTTGGAAATGTTGGAGGGAACGTTTGTAGATGTTTTCACCTCCGACTTGGCCTGCGGAGCGGCTCCAGGAGCTCCAGCCTTTGCCTTGATCGCAACAGACTGCTTGGCCGAAGACTGCTGCTTGGGGTCGGCAGAGTTCTTCTTAGCACCTGCGCCTCTCTTCTCGCCGTGAGCCGCCTCAACTGGGCGCTTCTTGGCACTCTTCTCAGCAGGACGACGAGCACTGCGCTGGTGTGAGTGCTCTGCCTTCTCCGCCTCTTCCTCCTCCTGTTTCGCCTTCTCATTAGCCTTCTGTTCGATGCAGACGATGAAGATGACGCCACCGATGAGAATGCCAATGAAGAGGTAGCAAAGCAGGCCAAAAACCAGGGCCGAATACGACTCCTCGGTGGCTGATCAAGACAGAGAGGGGAGGGAAGAGGTGTTAATGATCAGAGCTGCCAATGTTCACTTACTGGTAGTGGTGATCTTACTGTGGCTCTTGGTCACTGTGCTGCTTCCTTTGGCGGTAGTGCCGTTGGCCGCCTCTGAAGTTTTGTTCATCAACATGACTTCCATCTGAGCGCCAAGCAGAAACAGGCAGAATGTCACTGTGAAGCTGATGCTCATCGTGGTGCAGTTTTTTCTTCTACAAAAGTTGTAAGAGCAAAGTGTGCAAGTGAGTCCGTTCACAAGTCAACTTCAACGTCAGAAATGAATGGTGCAATTTGAAATGACGCTCAGTATTGTAGTGAGATTAGCTGGATTGTCTAGTTATAGTTGTACCAAAATTCTATGTTCGAAACAGTTGACTCAATAGGAGATTGCAAAAGAAGCTAGGCTGGCGTTGCATATGGTCATTTTCAAGTTGCTTTTGTGTTGAAAGGTTCTAAATCGCACACCAGTTTTTCATCTTATCTCAACTATTTGACGCGTCAGCTGTCCAACCGAGTACCGGCAAGCAAATCTTCAAGCAGCAATTCATCGACAACTGCAAAGAGTGAACGTTACATCAACTCTGATCCTCATCATGAACGGCAGTGGTAACTTCCTCAAGTCTTCAGCTATGGCTTTGATGTTGCTGTCCACCATTATCACCTGGATGTTGACCGGAATGGTCACTGCTAATGAAAAGTGCATGCACGAGACTGGTAGCTACTTCGGAAAATGCCTGGACGAGGCCTACATGAACGCCGGGCTGCAGCCCGAACCAGACCCCCAAAAGGGCGATGAAGCTCTCTCGGTGCTTATCTTCAACAAAACGACCAGTCTCAAAGGATGCGAAGCCAAGTGGCATGTCGCTTTCTGCGTCATCAAAAACCTCTGCAATGCCAAGGATACCATGTGCACCTACAATGATGTGAAACTTTTTGAAGAGCAGTTCAAGAAGGAGCTATTGCCTTTCGTCGTTCCCTGCAATTGGGACTACACGAAGCTAGAGGTGACAAACTGCACTAAGGACGCCTGGGATGCAGCTCATGGCATCAGCACCACCGAAGCAGTTGACATCTTCACTAGCACTGCTTTCTCCGAGAATGCTACCTCGACTAGCTCTGTGAACCAGAGCACCTCGGCTGCTCCAGTGAATGGCACCACTGAGCAGAACAGCACCGTTGCCTCCTCTGCGGGCTCGTTCAACACTACGGTGAGCATCATCGCCGGGAGTGCTACCACTGGAACCAGTAACACCAGCAGCACCGCTGCCCCTTCCGAGCACTCCTCAAGCAAGAAAACCAGCGAGCACGCTCACACGGGCAACTCGATCATCGACGACCTTCAGCAGACCGAGGTGCTCTTCATTGGCGTCAGCTGCCTGGTCATGGTTCTCTTCTGCTGCATCTTCTGTTGCTTCTGCGCCAGCAACTAGTCTCTCTGCCAACATGGCGTCCACCAGTGTGGACATCATGAGCAGCAAATGCACCAACAAGTGCAGCAGTAGCACAAGCGCAACATTCCAGCTTTTACTTTTCTCCGTACTTTTTACGCCTCTGTGCTAGCGCATCTGCAAAACAAAAATTGTACTTCTTTTTGTCACCTTTTGGCAACTTTTGATTTTGTATTATTACTGTTTTAAAACCGAAGCATTAACTGGTCCAATGCATCAGCAGCAGCAGCACTTCTTGTCGCGATGCGATTGTTTATGGTGGCAAACATATTTACTTCTGATAACAAAAAAATCTCGATAAAAGATAAAAGAACTGCAACAATATTACCTATCACCTCATCTGTGGAACTGGCATTATATCACGTCGTTTGTGGAACCGGCATTATATCACGTCATCTGTGGAACCGGCGTTATATAACGTGGGATCTTGTTTTGAAAAAAACTGCCAGTTTCTCTGATTTTAGCACTTCACCCGAAAATGGGCGACTTTGATGCTTTGGGCTCTTTAGATGACTACATCGATAAGGAAGATTTGGAAGAAGAAATCGACGATGGTGATATGGTCAATGACTCTGAGAGGAATCGCCTTTTCCACGAGGGAATCGAAAAGTCTTTCAAACAACTTGGCGAGAAAAATGGGAAAGAAGTTCACGCTCTAGACATTGGCTGCGAAACTGATTTGCTTTCCATGATACCTTTTCCAAAATTGGACGAAGAGTTTACTGGAAAAGTTAGTTTTGCTGATCGCTGCAAGTTAATGGAGCCAATTGAAGAAAAATACATTTACAAGCGCGTCATTCGTCCTTCAAGCGAACCTGAACATCGAGCTGTGAAAATCAATCACGCTGTTCTTTTTCACTTAAATGGATTCCTCGAAGAGCAGTACGAAGTACCATTCGACTCGAGCTACATTCGAAAGAGACCAATGTTGAGCAGACTGGATCGCGTGCTGAGAGGCTGCGCCGTTGCCCTGCTGACGATGAAAGTCGGCGAAATGGCCGAAATTGCGATTCACTACGACTTTGCATTTGGCAAACATGGCTGCCAACCGCGCATTCCGGAACGCGCAAACCTCATTATCATTCTCGAAGTGCTGGACGTGTTTGAGCGAGGAACCATCGAGTACTTTCACTCGCTGTCCATTTACGAACAAGAGGAACAGGTCAAGCCAGAAGAGGTGATCGAGTACGCCAGAAAAGATCTTCAGCTAGGAAATGAGATGTTTCGTAAGGGCGATCACTTAAAGGCCATTACCCACTTTCGCCGAGCAATAAATCTTATCGAGCGAGTCGCCTCCAACACTTCTCTTGAGGACGACTGCAACCAACTGCTTTTGGTTCTCTACAAGAACGCAGCCGTCTGCGCAATCCAGCTCGAGAATGGACCTTCTACTGTCAATCTCTCCCGTCGGGCGCTCCGCCTTGATAACGACTCTGCAAAAGCCAACTTTCTGCTGGGCCAAGGCTACATACTGCTGAAGAAGCTGGAGCGAGCTAAGCTGTACCTCATTAAGGCACAATCAAAGCGTCCATTTGACAAGGACATCAGCGCGGCTCTTGATAAGCTGGACGAACTGATTGCTGAGAGTCAAAATGAACCGGATCAAATGCTTGCTAAAGCGGCGAAAGCCCTGGTCCTGTATGAGGAGCCTGCTGACGAACATGAACGAGTGTTTGAACAGTATTCATCAGCGAACGTGGCACCGGAAGAGAGCCATCGAGTGAGTATTCTCAACATGCTTGAAGTTATGGAAAAAAGCGAGCCAATGTGGGACATTGCTGAAGCCGAGGACGAGTAGAAAACTCATATCTGATGAATGTCAACAACCAACTCTAAGCTTTTATGTCCACGATAACCACTGTTTTCACTAACTCAAATTCTCTTTTGAAACATTTACTTTTACTAACTTCAAACAACTTGAAAACTGTTAATTACTTTCAATAAAAACTGTTTATATTTCAAAGTAAAGTTTGTTAATTGATGATGATACCGTTGGTACATGAACACTTTGCCATTTATCTTCACAGCTGAACTTGTTGCATTTCCTTCAAATCAGAAGCCACTTTAAACTTGGCCCCTGTTGCCTCAGTAATGGTTTGCAGTGTCTGGTCGGGCGCCAATTCGAGAAGTGTCAAACCTTCCGTGGGGTTGACGCTGAAGACGGCCTTGTCTGTGATGATCATGTCCGCGCAGCGATAGCCAGTCAGCGGGAGGTTACACTGCTGGACAATCTTTGGCTCTCCCTTGTTGCTGTTGTGTTCAGTGGTGACGATCACCCTGGTGCCTGACTCGTGCGAGGACACCAGGTCCATTGCACCTCCCATGCCCTTGATCAACTTTCCTGGAATCATCCAATTCGCTAGGTCGCCGTACTGAGAAACCTAAATATGTGGTCCTGGAGTTAGTACTTTAAAACTTTGCAACTTTGATCTTACCTGCATTGCGCCGAGCATTGTCACTGCTAGATGCCCGCCGCGTATAATGGCAAAAGACTCATCGGAGGCAAAGTAGGAGGCGCCGGGCAGTGCTGTGATGCTCTCTTTTGCCGCGTTTGTCAGATCAGGGTCCAGCTGCTCTTTAGTGGGATAGCCGCCCATGCCGAGGAGGCCATTCTCCGAGTGGAAGGTCACCTGCACGTCTCGGGGAATGTAGCTGCTGACCAGGACGGGTATGCCAATGCCCAGGTTGACGTACATTCCATTGGTCACCTCGAGAGCGGCACGCTTGGCGATGCGAATTCGGCTGCTCTCCCCTGGCGAGGAAGATTCGCCGGCCGCCGACGCCGGCACCGAAGTTTTCCCCTCTTCTTGCTTCACTTTCACCCGCTCAATCAGCCTCTCCCAGGACTCGCCCTTGTAGAAGGAGTGCACGTACACGGAGGGCACGTGAATGCCGTCCGGGTCCAGCTGACCGACGTCCACAATCTCCTCTACCTCGACGATGGCCCGGTCTGCCGCCTTGCACATCGGCTCATTGAAGTTGTTGGCCGTCTTCCGGAAGACAATGTTCCCCAAGCGGTCTGCCTTCCACGCCTTTATCAGCCCATAGTCCGCCTGGATGGCCTCCTCGAGGACGTAGTGCTTGTCGGCAAAATTGCGCTCTTCCTTCGGCGGGCTCACCTCCACCACTGCGCCCTGGGCGTCGTGCCGAAGCGGGGCGCCGCCCTGGTGAATTTGCGTGCCAAAGCCGGTGGGCGTGTAGAAGGCAGGAATGCCGGCGGCTCTAGCGCGAATCCTCTCTGCCAGCGTGCCTTGTGGCACAAACTCAATCTCCAGTTGTCCGGTCCAGTACTGTTTCTCGAGCAGTTTGTTTTCGCCCACGTAGCTAGCCACCACCCGACGGACGGCATTATCGGCCAACAACAGTCCCAAGGCCTTTCCATCTACGCCCCCAGTGCCGGCGATGATGGTGAGGTTCTTTCGATGGAGACCGGCCAGCGTGCGGAGGCTGTTCTCGGGAATGCCGCACAGACCGAAACCGCCGACCATGATTCGGGCCCCATCGGGTATCTCAGAGACGGCCTCTAGCGATGAGGACACCTGTTTTGCATGAAATCGAGCTGATCGCGTTAGAGAACGCCTGATGAGGTGAATGTTGCTGGTGTTGTTGGTACTGCTGTAGGTGAACGGTTGCTGCACTGAACTATGAAGCCGCTGAAGTGCCCTCTGCGACTGAAGGTGCAAAAGACGGCGAAGATGGCGAAAATTGCTTGGAGATGACATCTTCCTAGTTACTCAAGTTGGGATTAAGTGCTCAAGTGAAGTGAATTTTTCACTAGAAAGTACCCTCGCTGTGATTTTGGATGTTCCTTGAACGTCTGTGATGTGAACGTGTGATGCCTGCTGTCTTGTTTGTTGATATCTTCTCACTTGGCCACACTTCTCCTTCTTGAGGTAGTACTTTCTTCTCTCTCTTTTCTCTGTTCACAGCTCTCCCCTTACTCAATCGCCGCCTTGAAGGCCACTATCGTGCTTGTCAGTGTGAACATATGATGATGTACTTTGCGCTTGAACATCGGACGTTCCGTACAGAGGTACAGCTCCTCTCTCTCTCTCTC